ACTGAAACAACACTTGATACATATGGATGGCCTTACGCACACAGCAGTGAGGTTCCAGTTAGATCCACGCTCACGAGCTTATTTGAGAGTTTTCTGTACTCGCTAACTTCAAAACCCAGACTATTTATTGATTAGACGCTGCAATTCCAATGAGGTCCCCTTCGGATGGGAAATCGAAGACAGCCGCTCCCTGACGAAGACGAATCACGGCAAGGAAGGAATGGGATCTTCAAAATCCCGACTCCACTTCACGAGCCAGCATTCGGAAGCCCTCAATATTGAGTCTCTTTGGGTCTATATGAAGTTTGTCCCTCGCGCTAAAGTGTTATATTCTGAGAAGCAGATATCAACAAACAAGACATCATCCCCAGGCATCCAAATCTTGTCCATCCTTCCGTCAACAAGCAACAGCGCTGTTTGGGAATAAGATGCCTCAAGGATCTCAAATAAAAGCTTCCGTTCAATCATTCAGCCAAGAAACCCGCGAAGCAGAAAATGAAGGACAGCACGCAGTAACTCCTTTTGCTCATCTTTCAAGCCCAATTGCCCCAGCAAGGCTCGCTAGCATGCCCACCGTGGATCACGAAACCGGTCGCAAGGACGAGAATTTGAAGAGTATATGAACTTGAGAGACGCGCTACATAATTGAGTGGTACCAAAAGAAGGGCTCGAGGTGGTATGAAATCCCAGCTGACAGACTTTTCGGGGTTCCTCAGCATTGACGTTGGACATCGGAACTGAGACGCAATCCGACACTGACTCGATTGATCTCTCGCTCCCTGAAGCCTACATATCAGCCGGACAGTGAGTGACTTGGGATTAAATCATTCATCCTCATCACGATGTGTAGCTGCTCGTGACTAACACTTTTATTAATTTCCAGTTTCACAGCTTGATAAATGGCATACTCAAACCCACTGGTAAACGATACCTGAAGCGGGCATGTTCCGTTACTCTACACAGTCGAGTACCTGACGCACGCGTCATCCAATAACTTGACATGAGTCTGCAGCAGATAAATCGTATATTGAGTGGCACCGGGAATGATCACCAGCGAGGAGAGCCGTTGAGACATTCGCCCGTATTATGTGTCGAGGTTCGGCAATAAGTGGATAGATATCAGCAGATAAAATCACATCAAAGGACGGCTATACCAAGCGTCTCGATGGTGCATGCACCTGGTGGTCAACAAGCCAGAAGGCAAGAAACATGCGGCATCCGCGCAGCCACTTTCGCATGGCTTGAAACTGCCGACTTCAGTCGGTGTCCCGTCCGGGCCCTGCACGATGATGGATGGCCGCTTGTTATCTTGGCTTTGGTATAGATGCGGATTGACAGAGGCGCGAGGGTCAAAACACAGACTGAGGAGTAAGACCGCTCGTAGTGAGCGTTAGCGTATTGTTCAGGGTCTGAATGTTGCCAAAGAGGCCGCTGCTAGCGAGTCGACACAATAAAAGTATGCAGAGACATTCAACCTCCTTGTATTCACAATCCTTTCGCTGTGTGTGACTACTTCCTCGATTGGTACCCGTCGCTGTTCTTCCGTGTCAGTAACCAATTCATTGCACTCGTTGTGGTTCCCTGCACGCATGATGTGGTTCTGCATTCTTCCTCGTGACAAACACCACTGCCGCTCGTCCATGCTTGTTGTTATTCAAAGGCGTCAATTGGGGCCCGTCCAACCGCGAGGAACGGTTAAAGATGCCGTGAAACATGGTTTGCCCATCAACCAAAGGCGCGGCTGTCATGTCAATCTGCGCTCTGAAGGTAGGATTCGAAGGCCCAGAGCACAATTGCATTGAGAGACGGAGTAATGGCCGGAGGGAGGGCACCTATCTTCCGGGGGGAGTGGAAGCCACCAGCATGTGCTTTGGGCTGCCCACACGGGTGAGTGTGGCACGATATTTGTTTCCGTGAAATAAGGCTTACCCCAGAGGTTTTCCACGGTAAGCGGCACCTGAGGTGAGAAAGCAGTCAGGATGTTTCTGAGATATGCGAGCGGCGAGTAAAAGAGGGGGTTGATTGGGTTGTGGAGATGAGGGACGGCCGATTGTCAGATATCGAATTATCGAGCGAGACAGTGTTGTCGTAGGACTCTGCGCTTGATGGGCTGTCGCTGATACTTTGACCTAGACAGGGTCGGGACTGTTCGTCATGATCCTGTAGCAGTTAGTAGATGTAACTCATCAATATAACGTTCTTCTGAACTTATCTTAACATCAAAGTAGTTTGTTGGTATTTGAAGAGACTAGGCAGGCAGGGACGATGAGACACACTTGTGACACAGAGTATGGTAATCAGGGCGATGACTGAGCAGGTTGGGAATGGGAACGGCTCGTGAGTGATCTCAAATGGCATTGAGACCTTTCGTGGTATTTCGTGATGGGAGAGGCGGTGAGTAACGGCTTTCGAGCTTCATCACAAGTTCTCCGTTGTGAAATTCCCAGTGGTTGGTCGGTTCTTGGTACGCAATCAGTAAGGGGTCTGTAAATGGGCCAGCAGGACTTACGGCGGTGCGCTTGAAATCGGCACCATGTCATCACGAAGTCCGCTGTTATGCATTTCCGGAATCAAGCTTCTGGCCAATTGATGGCGTACGCGATCGTGGGATCATAAGATACCAGGTCTCCTTGTCCCACTGGACGAAATTCCAACGGCAGGAGGCGTTTGCTGAATTGTCAGTTGACTATAGTAGGCGTGCTAGGTTTCAAAGATTGTTGTCATAGGTCGTGTCCTCGGAATACCTACCCAGGAAAGGTTCTATGAGGGGATATGACATTTGAAACCCGGCTTCCACTAAGTTAATCTGAACACCTGACTTGTGCGTAGTATCGTGTATTTCGTGGCCGGAAGTTCATACTTAGCGATGCAGATGGCAATGATGAGTCAGTTCAAGTATTGAAAGAGGCGGGTACGAATGTAAAACGTTGTGAGTTGCTTCGACATGAGCACGAGAGTTTGCAGAAAAGTGGCTTCGTGATGAAAAGTTGAACCCAGTCTCTCGAATCTTGTGGTGTGAGGAGGCAATCGGAGGGGCAGGCACTCAATAAGGAAGAAAACCATTTAAGAATGAGAAACCTTGGGTGATGAAGCCAGATTCTCCCATAATGTCAGGTTGTTGTTCAAAAGGAGAGCTGAGCCATATTCGATACAAAAGTTGCGACTAGTCACTTCAAGAGAAACTAAGAGAAGCCTTTGGCCGATTTGGCGCTGGGTTTCGCTAGAACATGTGCGAGTGACTCTTCGAAGTAGAGCGAATGTGATTTGGTTGGGATGTCGTGATTGGCTGGCAAGCGCATGGCATAAAAGAGCCGTACTGCAATGGAGTGATCGGTTGACGAGGTTCAGAGTGGATGCGGAAATCGCCATGGCCATCCTTTACCAAGCTTCGTCAGTCTGTATCATCGTGATAGACAGTGAGAATTTCGCTGGAAGTCAAGTCACTTCAAAAGCTACAGAGCTGGGTTTTGTCATGCCGTTGAGGGCGGAGCTCATGAGACCAAGGCATCATGCGAAAAGGTCGTGACGACATGCAGTGGCCGATGTCGACAGTTGTGAGTTCGAAAGGATGTGAGAAACAGGATGGATGGGTCTTTGATTGCTTCAACGTCGGGAGGGGGCCTGCCGCCGGTAGGGTTTGGGCGAAGATGTAATGGCAATGACCATACAAGTCTGATGAATGTTCGAACGTTGACAGGATTTGCATCTTCGACTCTTCCCCCAATGAACTCATTCGAGATCGGCTCGCGCCAGTCACGCTTCCAATATGCTCATGGGCATCTCCTTACAGTCATTGTCCCCTCGTTTCCCTTGGCCGCGGCCTATATCAGCATAGCCAGCTGGGTACGCATTCTTTGCAGAGTGAAGGGCTCGGCGTAATCCTTTCTCATCGAAATCATAGTGGATAACACGAATGTGTCTGCTTCTATTGACTCCAGTCAATAGTGCAGAGCTTGGGTGATTGATTCCTCGCTGGATCCTGAGAAATACTCATCGAGTGGCTCGCACAAGATCGCATCCTCCTTCGGCACGCGTTGTTAAAACCTGTAGACTGGGCTGGCAGAGATTTGTTGCTGAATTGTTGGACAGGGTGGGTGGCCAGAACCAAGATTCCAAGAACCAATCAATCCATTACTGGGAGCTGCAAGGGAAAGACCAGCGAAGGCCATAGAAGCGAGGCAGCCCACTGAAAACTGAGCCACTGCGGGGAGAGTCGTCACAAAGGCCCTCCAAGACAGCGGAACCGCAAAAGGGTCGATACCGCCGTGCCGCGCGGGCCAAGGTACAGAGGTGGGGAGAACGTTTGAGAAGATGACTCGACCTGTACCCAAAGTCTGGAGACGCTGCAGAGTGACGAGTGACTGAGAAAGACTAATTTCGCTGTCGAGGGGTCCCTGACCCCTAGTCGCAAGGGTCTGTATTGTAGCAAAATGATATCACTTTGAGAACAACAAATATACGAATGCCCCTGCGCCACTTATCGTCAGACCCAACAGCTTTTTGAACATGTCGCTACCTCGTCAGATGGCACGGTTACAAATCTCTGCTAACGCACAGTTCGAATGACGAAGAATGCCCAAACGCTGTTCGCATGGCCAGATGGTCTTCCCATGAGTGATGCGAATTTTGACCCGGCGTCACAACCAAGCTTCCCTCCAATCGTTTGTGTTGCCTCAATCTGAAATGTACTTCAGAGATTGGTGCAGTGAGTCTAATGCTCATCGTCCACTGCGATGCCTAGACAAGGTTTCAGAGACCGGATGACCCCCGGATGTGGGACGGATTGATCTTCGATCGCCAACGCACTACTTGGCCAGCAGGTTAGGAGGTATCGTTGGACAAATCTATTCGATCGCAAAATACCATAGTCTTACATAATTGACATAACTAAACACGTCTTGAGGTCATGATTTTTAATATGGGTGGAATTATTTAGTAGTAAGATCGTCTCCATTGTATTTCATTGTATTCTTGGTATCTCTCCCATCTGCCCCAGCAGCTCATAAGGGGGCCCATCCAAGAAGCCCAATGACACAGGGTTTTTCAGCTTCACAGTCGTTAGTGATGTACTGATCGGTGAGATCAGCTCGTAACTGGCGAACAAAGCTCAGCGAATGATGCATATGATCATACCACTCGGTTTCCACCGGTCCGATGTATTCCCAGTCCTTGAAAAGGTCATCGTAGTCCTTGATCTCTAAAAGTTTCCTGTCGCTGGCATAAAAAGCATTGATCTTCCAGGAACAGTCTGATTCTTCTTTAAACGCTGGACCTTGACTCTTTCTTTTCAGGTAGCGGTCGATAAACCAGATGGTATAGTTTGCTTCGACACAAGCCTTTAAAAACGTGCAGTTAACATCCTCATCTATACAATATCCATCCCCCCACGCTCGGTCATACTCTATTCCGACGTGATCCACACCAGAGAACCCTTCTCTTGGCAATGCCAGAGAGGCTTCGAAGCCAAGGCAACCCCAGTCGATCTTGTCCAAGTCATTATGCTGCAAGACAAAAAGATCTCTGTGGGGGAAAACTGTCACTATTTCGAGAGGGGTACCGCCGAAGTAGCCTGACGTGGCCATTTCGGAAAGTTCTTTCTCACTGAAACTTCTTTGGTAGTCATTAGGACGGCGTAGTGTTACTTGTCGTTCTGAATGCTTGAAATGTTTTTCCATGATGCATCGTGACTCGTGACAGGCGGTCCATAAGCCGCTGTCTAAAAGATATGTGGAAATATTTTCGTCGCTGTGATACTCATCCAAACTCTCAAAGTACCGTCTCCAAGATGGTGCAACCAAATCAAAGCTTGTACCGCCGCAAAATTGGATACGATGACGTCCGGTCACATATTGTCCGAAGATGTGTACTCAAGGATGGTCATCTCGGATGGCAAGTCTCCAAATTCGATCTCGAAGTTCTCGAGGAAGCTCTGTAAATCTTTTGAAAGTAGTCATAGCTGCTCAAAAGTTTGTCTTGGAACAGAGATATAATTTGAGAATAAGGCAACGATAGCGTTTGTGGCAATAAGCATGAAGTCCTCAGTGAGTCGTGACCTTTGGTGTTGAGCTTAAATGATGAGGAGAAATAAAGAGATATGTTTGAGGTACCAGAAGCTACAGGAGGACACATATTTACATCCTCACCCGATTATACTTTTTCGGTATGAGTTGTCACTCTCTTAACGTGGGTGCAATATTATTTGCTATCAAAACTCGTTTGCAAAACCTTGTTATCACACACCGTTTGTATTTTCACCATGTATTATATTCATCCTTCGAAAGTTAGATGTGCCTCAGTTATATCGACCACACAGATCGACTTTTAACATTAGGAAGTCCCAGCTTATCTGATTTGGAGTTTAGGCAGAATACCACCTGTAGTCAGCGATGGGTTTGACTCATTCCGCAGGTTGACTTTGACAAATCCTGTTGTCGAACTTGATTTCTAAGCTTTCCCGGTGCAAAGACTAACATAATTTGTGGTGATGAGCATCCTGTAGGAACATGGCCAGGTGCAGTTTGGTGCCTTTGCATGACCCAATATCTCCAATACGGCTTTACTAGCTGAAGAATTGACTACAAGCCTCCAGCTTCCGACAGGTGTATGCCATACCCGTGAAAGAGGTAGGTTCCTTTCGAAATCAAGCGCCAGTAATAATCTAGTAAGACCTAATCTCATTGACATGTCAATCCATTTCCAAGTCTCTCGATTCAGCGCATCACCAAGGCTTGCTGAAGACAGACTCTCCAAGCGAGAGTTCATTTAGTGGCGGGTTGACCTAGATGCTTCGAAGTCTTTCGAACAATTCACGAATTACTGTACTCTCCCCATTTTAGAATCATAATACAGGCACTAAAGGATAAAAAGATTTAGGTAAATTAGAATAAGTTTAGGATATATTTACTAAGTTTAAGAAAACTTTTAATGAGTTTATTTTAACACCCTATATTTAAGGTCTAATATCTTCTTACTCCTTAAGGCTAATAAGTAAATAGACATTAGCTAACACTATAACTTAAGGCTCTGTTTCTTAGTAGCATTTTAGTTAATATGTAATCAAAAGGGGCGAGAAAATTCCACCCCCCTTATTCATTTACTGCTATTAGGTATTAGTATTTTTATAATAAATAGTTAAATAGAAATAACTTACCTGCTCCATTTCGGAGCTGCCATCCTCAGTGGTCTTGGCCTCAGCGGCCTCCATCTCCTGCTATAAAGGGCAGTGCTGTTAGTCATAGATCCTGGGCGCGGCTGAATGTGTGTCACTTACGCAAGTCTGCTGGAAGAGGTTCTATTCCCAGTTAGCATGCGGAACTCAATTCAATGAGGGATTGCCTTACATCGATGGCGGAGGGGCCACCCTCCTTCTCGGCCAGTTTCTATACTTGTTATCACTAATGTAAAGATTCGGAGTTGACGACACTAGCTTACCCGCCCATCGATGTCGTGGCGCTGAAACGTTGTTATCATCAGCCGAGTTCTCCTTTCTGATATGGATGCTTGTTGTGACTTACCGCAGCGCCCTTGGTATCATTTCTCCACCATTCTTCTAGTTTTTCGGCACGGACCCTAAGGACCCGGGCATCTTGACTTTGGAATGTGACGAGGTTAATAGCCCCGCGTGTGTGTGTGTGAATCAACTGAACAACACAAATGGAGCTTGTATGTGTGTGTGTGTGTGTGTGCTGGAAGCAGAAATTTTGACGTCGCCGCCGGTTATCGTCATGCCGATGTTCCTTCCTTGAGGAAGGAGCTGACCTGGGTGGCCTTCTACTCGGCAGTCCGCGGAGCCATCATCGTAACTGCTCAAGTACGTAGTAAGATGGTCCCAGATTGTCCGATTGTTTCTTGGGTGCTGTAAAATGCTTTTATTAGAGCCATGATCGAATTGCGCGACACAATCGGTTCGACTATCTTTGGCGGTGATTGGAAGGCCTTTCGGGTAAGGATTCGGTGGCCACACGACATCGGTAAGCAGGCAGGGTGCTTCTGGCCTTGCCGAGACCGAATGAAAGCGTGGTCTTGCGAGAGGTGTCCATTCGGCGTGCGAGAAAGTACAGATCGTGGGTTGGTTGCGCTTTGGGGCAAATGGGGCATATATTGGTCGTCCGCTGTTGTTCACTTTCCAAATGTCAGTTATCTTCTGACTCGCAACCGCCTGGACTCACCTTGATGTTTTCTATGCAAAGGGACCTTACGTAGGGCCATTCCAGCATCCTTAGTTGCACCGCGGGAGCTTCTCTTAACGTGGCCTCAAGCGGCCGGAAGACTGTGGCTGTCCGGTATCGTCGCCATAGACGCGATGTCGAATTTTGAGATAATTCTGGCGGGCGATGGGCATCCTCGCAGCGGCATATCAAGTGAGGGTTTTGCGGTATCATTTGAGCAGGTAGTGAGCATGAATGCAGTGGTTGCATAAGGTAGAGACGAGTCCGAGCATCAACACGTTAAAGTGGGTCTCAACATACTGCAATGTCGAGACGTGAATCATGTGGCGGCTTTGCCAAGTCAAACTGTTACACAATCTGATCTGGATAATAGACCTCAACTAAGGGTGCATTCCACACGGTTACGAATGTTCTACAACAGGGAGAGCTTCTCTCTTGAAATGGTTTGTTACACAAGCGCATGCGCTCCCCAAGAGATATGGTTTTGTCGCCGATCACTACCTCCCCAGGGCGAAATTTAACATGAAATAAGGCTTGATGCATTTTCTTGATCCTCAGCGCCGCTACATAATGAACAAGTAGAAATCCTCTACTCCAATCGAGTCAAGATGAAGCGCCACATCATGCCTTTGCTTCACAGTAAAGACCGAGGTGCCTAAGTCATTCAAGCCCCGGCGTCGTTCGGTACATCTGGCCATATTTCTATACCTTTAATGCATCTTACTCTAGCACGCTTACCTGAGGCTAAAGCGACAAGAACTGGATGCATGTTTGCTTGGACTTCGCAGAGTATTCGCCCCCAGTTATTAGGGAGTGGCGGCCAATATTCCGATCGTCATCAGGCGAAGAAAGTTGGTATCCCTGAGCTAGATGTGTTATTTGGAGTTGAGACTTGTGGCTGAGAGCTTATTCCAGCAGACAGAACCTAGAACCTGGTTGGCATCCCTCATTTCGTATTCGGGCCATAAAATGATTCTGAAAGACGACGCTTTGGAAGCACTGAGATGAAAGTCGCATGAGAGCTTTGGTCGTATCGATGGCGCTTTCACGGAAACGAGGACGCATTCGTGCCTCGAGAGCCTTCCCACTCTTGAACGCAATAAAATACTACTTTTATGCAGTCTGTATTCAGTCAGTTAACTTTGCTGACCTATTCTCACAGCTGTAAGCACTCATTCCTCGTTAACCAATCCAATATTGACTACACGCATCCCCAATCGCGCGCTCCCTCTTCGACTTGCAACCTAGCTTCACTCGCAGGATGATATCCTAAATCTCAGACCTTCCACGGCGATATCGATAATTCGTCAGTGTCATCGTCATACTTTGTTTCCTTTGGCGGACTCTTTAGAATATGGGCAATGATGAACCGTGGATGAGGCAAAGAATGAAACGAACGCTGATCGCCCCAGCAGTGGTGTCAATTATTATTTGCCACTTGAGGCATATGGAAGCCGGCACTTCAGGGTTGTTCCTATATCCCTTTTCAAGAGTGGTCGTCATCCTTTGTGGTTGTGAGGCTTTGACTCTGGGGTGCCTGTTGCTATGGTTGAGGCAACATTGGCCATGGCATTAATTATGTTTAGGCTACATAGAAATAGCCACATTTAACAAAAGTAAACGCCCAGACAGAAGAGACACTGCTTGTTCCACCACAATGACAGTTAAAAAAGAGCAAAAGGGTACAAAAAACAAGGGTCTGGCCGGGGATTGAACCCGGGACCTCTCGCAAGCTGAGCTGTAGGGTTTTCCCTAAGCGAGAATCATACCACTAGACCACCAGACCGACCTAGAACAACAGATGCAATGATGCTGTCGTTGGTGCGGGAGCGGCAGTTGGGGGTTTTGTTTGGCCGCGGGACAGAAAGGAAAGGGACTTGGAAAACATCTTGACGAAGGTCGATAACAGGATAAACAATCGGGCGCTAAAGCCAAGAAATTGAGACCACTTCACATTAGATCAACCTATACTTGCTTACATGTAACCAGCAGCTTATGTGCCTGGCCCAAAGGATGATGCAAGCAGAAAGATAATGAGCATTTACTTGATCCAGCCGCCATGTTCAAATTATTGCACGTTAGCCGGGTCTTAGCCGGCTCTGGGATAAAAGACTTTGGGGTGTAACAAATTACGATTCGTGACACGTTAGAGGCAAAGGTTTGGTCGACACTGGAAATGCTGGCCAATGTCAGTCAAGCAAATTTGCAACAAAATGACCAACGTGATGTATTTCGCGCGGAATTAGATTATAAAAAACTTCGACAATATTGAATTGAGCACTTTATATTTATAAGCCGGCACTCAGATAATTATCATTAGCAGTCCGGTGACTCAGGTCTAGGGTACGGCACTTGACGCGACAGTCCCGGTGGGTCACAATGGATGGATGATGCACGCTCTCTGTTGTTCTCGAATTGAAACAGGCGGCTCTTATTCCAAATTTATGATGAATAAAGAGGCAAACTCTGTCAAAAACTCTAAGTATGACGCGTCTTACCATTCAATCACTCTCAAGTCGCTCGGTCCGATGCTTGCTAACTACCAAGTGAAGCCGGAATGAAGGAGTGGATTTCAAGACGCGTCGCTTGGCGAGCTCTTGATTGGTGGAAGCTTGAGATCGACAAGGTTCAGTCACTTTTGCTGGGTCTTTGAGGCATAGCCAGAACGCGAAAACAAGACAGTACTCCGTAGATAGGTTCACAAAGTCACCAAATGAGTCAAGCAAATAAAGGATGAAACAGTAATGAGATTCAAGCTAATCTAAACTATATCACAGTCTCTAATAGTAAGTAGATTATCATGTGTATTAGGTTGGTCTCTCTATAGACCTGTCATCATCGCAATGCGCAATCGCGTCAAGACATCGCGTCTCAGACCCCATCGTCTAGATCTAGGCAGTTGTGGTGGTAGCAGCCTCAGATGTGGAGGACTCCGACTCCGACTCAGTTCGCGTGACCGTGGAGAAGGTCGTGGGCTGGCTTGAAGTCTCATCAGTAGCGGAAGAGCTTGACGAGGTTGATGTAGCATCAGCTTCTGAAGTGGTAGAGGCAGCAGAGGAAGAGGTCTCGGCGGCCGAAGAAGAGGTTTCAGCAGCAGCGGAACTTGAGGTTGCGGCAGCAGAGCTAGAGGTCTCAGCTGCTGAGGAAGTGGTTTCAGCGGCAGAGCTAGAGGTTTCAGCAGCTGACGAAGAAGAGGTCTCAGCAGCAGAACTAGAGGTTGCAGCAGCGGAGGAAGAGGTCTCGGCGGCAGAGGAAGATGTAGCGTCAGCTGCAGAGGTGCTAGAGGCAGAGGAGGAAGTCTCAGCTGCGGAGGAGGTTGCAGCGGCTGATGAGGAAGTCTCAGCTGCGGAGGAAGAGGTTTCGGCGGCAGAGGAAGAAGTAGTGTCAGCAGAGCTAGAGGTCTCGGCAGCGGAGCTGGAGGTTGCAGCAGCGGAGGAAGAGGTCTCGGCAGCTGAAGAGGTAGTCTCAGCTGCGGAAGATGTTGCAGCGGCGGAGGAGGAAGTCTCAGCAGAAGAAGAGGTCTCGACGGCGGCAGAGGAAGAGGTGTCAGCAGCAGAGCTGGAGGTTGCAGCAGCTGACGAAGAGGTTTCGGCGGCAGAGGAAGATGTAGCGTCAGCTGAAGAGGTAGTCTCATCGGCAGCTGATGAGGTTGTCGCGGCAGCGGAAGTAGTAGTCTCATCAGCGGCGGAGGTGCTGGAAGCAGCCTGGCTGGTGGACTCCTCATCAGCGGTCGATGAAGTCGAGGCGCCAGCAGAGCTAGTAGACTCGGCAACAGATGTGCTAGAGGCGGCTTGGCTGGTAGACTCATCGGCAGCAGAAGACGAGGTAGAAGCGGCAGCAGAGGTAGTCTCTTCATCGGCAACAGAAGTGGATGAAGCAGCCTGGCTGGTGGACTCATCAGCAGATGAAGATGTTGTGGCAGCAGCTTGGCTGGTAGTCTCATCGTCAGCAGCGGTAGTAGAGGAGGCAGCCTGGCTGGAAGTAGTCTCTTCATCGGCAGCAGTGGTAGATGAAGCGACTTGGCTGGAGGTAGTCTCATCATCAGCGACCGAGGTGGAGGAAGCTGCTTGGCTAGTGCTCTGATCAGCAGAGCTGGTAGAGGCAACCTGAGTAGAAGACTCCTCGTCAGCAGAGGTGCTGCTAGCGGCCTGGCTAGTGGTTTCGTCAGCGACGGAGGTGGTAGAGGCAGCTGCGGAAGTAGAGGTCTCGTCATCAGCAACAGAAGTGCTGGAGGCAGCCTGGCTAGTAGACTCCTCATCGGCAGCAGATGTAGAAGAAGCGGCCTGAGTGGATGACTCCTCATCAGCGACAGACGAAGAGGTGGCAGCCTCGCTGGTAGACTCCTCGTCAACGGCAGAAGAAGTAGTAGAGATTCCAGCAGGTGCACCGGTGAGATTTTCAGAGGTAGCAGTGGATGACTCCTCATCGGCAGTGCTGGTAGTGCGGGTCAGGGTGATGAAAGTAGTAGTGCTGGATGTCTCATCATCAGCAACTGAGGTGGAAGTACCAGCGTCAGATGAAGTGGTCTCTTCGTCAGCCTCAGAAGTGGTAGTGCCAGCAGCAGCCGAAGTACTGGTTTCCTCATCAGCATCAGTGGTAGAAGCACCAGCAGCGGATGTAGTGGTCTCCTCATCAGCAGCAGAAGTGGTAGTCTCATCAGCCTCATCAGTGGTGCTAGCAGCGGCGGCAGAAGTAGAGGTCTCCTCATCGACATCGGTAGTGGAAGCAGCAGCAGAAGTGCTAGTCTCCTCATCAGCAGCAGAAGTGCTAGTCTCCTCATCAGTCTCAGTGGTGGTAGTACCAGCTCCAGCAGCGGAAGTAGATGTCTCCTCGTCGACATCAGTAGTAGTAGCACCAGCGGACGAGGTAGTGGTCTCTTCGTCGGCAGCAGAAGTAGTAGTAGTAGCTCCAACAGCAGCAGATGAAGAGGTGGTCTCATCAGCCTCCTCAGTGGTAGAGGTAGCGGCGGCAGAGGTGCTGGTCTCTTCGTCAGCAGCGGAAGTAGTGGTCTCCTCATCGGCCTCAGTAGTAGTAGATCCAGCAGCAGCAGAAGTTGAGGTGGTCTCATCATCAACAGCGGCAGTGGAAGAAGACTGGCCAGCAGAAGTCGAGGAGACAGCAGTGGTAGTCTCGTCATCAGACTCATCAGAAGTCACAGCAGTGCTTGAAGAAGCTGCAGCACTGGAGGACTGGCTGGCAGGAGTGCTAGTAGTAGACTCATCATCATCGGAAGTGGAGGTTGTGGCACCGCCAGCAGGGGCACCAGTGGCCTGGCTGGATGTAGCACTGGATGAGGCAGCAGCAGAAGAAGATGAGACAGCGGCAGAGGTAGAGGCAGAAGAGCTAGTAGAAGCTGCAGCTGAGCTTGTACTGGTCGAAGCCTTGCTTGTAGAAGCCGGAGCACTAGTCGAAGTTGAAGCCTTGGAGCTGGTACTGGAGGAGGATGAGCTCGATGAAGCCTTGGAGGTTGTAGTTGCAGCCTTGGAAGTGGTAGTCGCAGCCTTGGAGGTTGTAGTAGGCTTTGAGGTTGTAGTGGGGGGCTTCGAGGTTGTAGTGGGGGGCTTCGAGGTAGTGGCAGGCTTGGAAGTAGTAGCAGGCTTGGAAGTAGTAGCAGGCTTGGAGGTGGTAGCAGGCTTGGAAGTAGTAGCAGGTTTGGAGGTGGTAGCAGGCTTGGAGGTAGTGGCCGGCTTGGAAGTTGTAGCAGGCTTAGACGTGGTCGTTGGCTTCTTGGAAGTGGTGACAGGCTTAGAGGTAGTGGCAGGCTTCGAAGTAGTAGTGGGCTTCTTGGAAGTAGTCACAGGCTTGGAAGTTGTAGCAGGCTTAGACGTGGTCGTTGGCTTCTTAGAAGTCGTAACCGGCTTGGAGGTAGTGGCTGGCTTCGAAGTAGTGGTGGGCTTCTTGCTAGTAGTTGCCGGTTTCGAGGTGGTAGTAGGCTTCTTCGAGGTAGTAGCAGGCTTCGAAGTGGTAGTCGGCTTCTTGGATGTAGTAGCAGGCTTGGATGTAGTGGTAGGCTTCTTGGATGTTGTAGCAGGCTTGGAAGTGGTAGTCGGCTTCTTGGATGTAGTAGCAGGCTTGGATGTAGTGGTAGGCTTCTTGGATGTTGTAGCAGGCTTGGAAGTGGTAGTAGCCTTCTTGGATGTAGTAGCCTGGACCTTGACAGTGGTAGGCTTGGCAGACGATGTAGTCTTCCTCTTGAGGAGGCGTCTCAGAGGGTTGCCCAAGCGGCCGGAGCATGTGCACTCACTATCGAATGTTAGCTACATCTCACAGCTGACTCAGCTGAGTACTCACGGTGCACAGGATACAAAGGTTTTACCCTTCTCGATGCACTGTTGAAATTGTTAGCCCATATTGATACCAGGTCGATAAGGCGTTGCACTCACATGAGCTTCGCAGGCTCGGTCGCCGCCGGAGTACTCGCAGGTCGAAACACCCGATCCATCTGCGGGCAAAGCAGCCGCGTTGACAGCAGCAAGGGATATACCCCAGACAATAGCCTTGATGAAATGCATTGCGAAAAAGACAATGTAGCGAATATACTACTCTCAATGAATGTAGTAGACTGTGAGATTGCTGATGAGAATAAATCGAATTCTGGTCTGATCTATGAGGGTTTTTTATAATAACTGTTGCTCTTCATCTTGGCCGATGGCCGATATCTTCAAGTTGGCGTGTTTCCTAATCCGTCTGGGTTGAAAGTTTGTTTAGTCGAGATATTCAGTATAAACTCAATGTGCCTTTCGAGCCTCATTCTAGCCACAAGAAGACCCTTCCAGGGACCAGAGCTAAAAAAGGTATGGACTGTTGTGTGAACTCAATTTCTATTTTCAGCTTTCCGCATATGGAATTGTGAGTGATAAGAGTACCAGGAGACTGGGACTCTTTGGTAGAGAGACTGTAAACGGTGACAGGATGATACTGGCAGTGACATGATATGGAGATAGAAAAACAAGGAAGAGAATGACTATTCCCGTTGCAATCAATTACCATCTGAATCAATTGTCGGAATAATTCTCCTAGATCGAAATAACCAAGGAAATGGTGAATTGAGGTCTTGTCCAGCGACTCAAGTCCCCTGTCTCGAGAGGCACGGTCTAGATCGGAGAGCTGAACCGAGACAGAGGACACCATTCCAATAACGGCATGCAAAACGGGCCTACCCGTGGCGCCACAGGCCGGGAAAGACGCAGGTCCCTTTACATTCCAGGCTGATCCTTTCCATTCTTAACACAGAACGAGTCTTTTCCCCTTGCAGAGCCACGCGGATCTAGTTTTCTTGGCAGAAGCACTGTTGAGAGACCCGACTACCCGGGCTCCCGCTGCAGAGAGACACCTTGGCGATTGTGCGGCTCCTCCTTGTGGCGTTTGGTCTAGATGTCTTTCTGTACGTATTTTCGTTCACTACTTTTTCATCTTCGGTTGACGGAGCAGAGGTTAAGCGAAGTCTCTCACCCGTGCCCTGTTTCGCCGAGAGGCTTGGATCTGGGCTTATCTCCACCAAGCCGCCATATCTCGACATCGCCATCATTCTGTAACCTCAATCGCATGCGATAATAAGTCACTATCTGTAATTTCCATACAACTGGAATCATATCCACTGATATCTTTGCGGAGGCTGCCATTCAATGGACCGTCATGGCCAGATGAATGAATTTACTTTCCAACGCCGGATGATCACCCAGACAAGCTTTTTAGTCACTCGTTGATCTGCAAACATCCAGACGCAAATCATGGTCCACTCGAGCAGGGTTCCCCGTGTTCCAATGACATTCTGCAGAGCTCTCGGCTGTCACTGCCCATTACAGGAGCCAGGGTCGGTATGTCGTGCCTTGTCGCTCTGGTATGTAAAACTCGGGCTAGGCGGTATCGCGACCCTCTTTTCTCACCACCTATTGGCTCGCCTCGGATCTAGCTACGTATTCGTCCATAGCGCAAGCCATTCACAGAGCGGCTCGTATTAATGCAGAGCCTAGCCCCAGGTAGTCCTGTCACTATCACGGTCAGTTATCACCAAAACAGACAATGTTTGGAGTCTCGCCGTCTCGACTCTGTTTATTACCGATAACACTATCACCAAACAGAGTTGCGCGACTCAACCAACACATTTAGCCCCGTAACCTACACACAAACGTGGCAGAGAGTCAATAACGTGCTCGAACGACCTTTCCCACTTCGGGCTATCAGACAATGCACCTTTTCTCCCTCAGCTGCGCCATTTTGCTACACTATTCCCCAAAGCCCATGCTTGCGCGTCAAAGAGCTTGAGCCATGGCGTGAGGGAGGATGCGATTGCTGGCCTGGAACTAGCTATCGAGCTGCATGCAGCTTTGGCAGCTATCGATTAAGCATAACAGTTCGTCAAGCCTCGCCCTTGCATGATGCGGCTTTAACATACGCCTCGTATGACGGGCGCTCTATTGTTTGACTCGGCAAAACGCTCGCGATACGGCTTAGAGCGAACTGGGCGAGACAGTCCGATACATGTTCCCGATCTTTCAATTGTAGCTGGTCCAGCCTTATCGAAAGCGTAGTCATACAGGCAGAGTCATGCCATGTTGCAACCACGAGTAGAGATATCAACGTTTTGAGTTCAGTAGTAATACGAGCCGTCCAATGGTGCAACCCATCACAATATAGTCTTTGGCCAGTCCAAACGCAGCGAAGTAGTAACGCGCATACCAGAATTCCATGTTCAACGGCAGGCAAACCACAATTCTTGCTAAGCGATCCTCAGTGAGGACTTTGCATCCGCCGGTTTGTATCTTTATCCGAGGGCTCGCATTTGGAGGGTTCCAGACACTGAGGTTTTTGCAGCTTGACTAGATCCGAATATGGCTTGGGACGAACATCACTTACGCCGTCATAGGCTAAGCAGCAATGCAATAAGTTTTATTTTGAGTTTTCGGACTACCCTATTGCTACGAATTTATCCATGAAATACCGCAAATACGATGAAGCAGGAGTGAATGTCCTCAAAATTCCCATTGTTGATGAAAATCTGTGATTTGATCGGTGAAGCTCAACTAACTACTCTGTGAAATCTGCCGATTTTGCCGTTAGTAAACTCTTGTAGTATTTAGTGAAAGCATGTGAATACCTGTACGAAGCGTCTATCCCATGCCGCAGGATCCGTGGTGCAATATCTGTTCGCTGTAGGGTAAAATCCAATCTGACAGCATCCGACCTCTCTGTTCTGCTTGTTCCAGAGTATCCACTCCGGTTTAGCGCATCTGAGATGATTCGGGACGATTTCCTTGCTGCAATCCACGTCTTTGACCATCAGCCTACCAGCATAACAACATTTACAACACGAGACTGACCTGTTGGACAGCAGATGCTGACTTGCTGCGCTACATGTTCATCCAACTGTGTTCCATCTGGGCAACACCAAATTGCTAGCCTGGAAGAATGTGTCCCGGTGGGACAGTATCCGCCGCTAGTGGTAGGATTGAAGAGAGGATACAGAACGAATCCGCTTCTTGCGCCGCACTTTTTCGGCTTACCCGTCGTAACCGTGATTTTAACTTTATCACTCTTTACATCCTTCGTTGAGATGAACAAAACGATGAATGTTTGTTTAGTGTCTTTCTGATTGCATGGAAGATCAATAGTGCGTCCAGAAGAGGAATCGGCGGCCATGTCGGTCCACGATCTGGCGTCTGACTTTCGGTAAGCAAGCTTCTGGTTAGCATGCGCCGACGAGTAAATCTTTGCCATCCTCCCAGGGTCAATAGTAATCTTGAAGACCGAAATAGTGAACGATGTGCTTGTGAGCGTTGCGGTGCCGGTAGTGCCCGCTTTGTCGAACTGGATTGACGCAGAAATGGGGTTCATCTTGTCGATCGGAATGAGACCTCCATTGGTGTCTTTGATCTGCTGTAGTGCGAATGCTTTCGCGAAAGTGAAAAACTCGTCAGTAAATCCTGATAGACGTGATAGACGAGCTCGTTCTTCAAGCCCGCTTGATCCTCCGGGCGTTGTCAGAACAAATTTGTTCAAATCATCCTCGTCCATCTTGTCTTGCGCTTGGAAAAAGATGCTAGCCGCGTAGGCTTCTAAACCAACATGTGCATAGATTGGCAGATTTGGCTTATACGCGACGCCGCTATGCTTCTTATCAGGCCATTCGGCGTTCGAGTCAGGAAAGACGAGGTTACTGAAATAATTCGCAGAGCCCTCACGAACCCACTGCGGATCAGGATGATTCCCAAGTTTTCCAAGACTTTGTACGCAGTGATACATCTCATGCGCAAGAGCCTGTAGAACTCGAGGTTTATTAGTCGTTGCTTCAGTAGTCCATCTCTTGAATAGCTTGATTTGACACGTAAGCTTCCTAAGATTAGGATACTAAGTCTCGGCGGTAAAATCTTCGTCGCTTTCTGTTGTGAGGATGACGACAATTCTCGATGGAAGTTTTGCAAATTTGCGGTAGACTTCCAAGCTTTTCTCGAGAGATTCTTTGAGGATTGGGTTTACGGCTGTTTTGGTGTTGCTGGGTAGACGGCTCCATTGCTGCGTATACGTCACGGTGACTTCTGTATTGGCTTTTTCAAATGTCTTTGGATAGCCTGCTAGAGTGCGACATTTATCCTTGAGGGTATACTGTTTACCGGGGGTTATGTTGGGCCAGGGACTAGAACAACTTTTCCACTGGGCTTGTGCAACAGATGCAAAGAGAACAAAGAGTAAGAGCTGCAACTTCATCGTGATAGAAACATGAAGAGAGTTATTTCTATTTTTGATCGGTTTAATCTGATCGGTTTCCCAGGTATGTATATAATGTCTGCATCCTCCTCATGATATTTTGGCCGTTTCATTGCGGAGGGGTGACATTCTCATGCAGCCTAGAAGCGCCTCGCATTAAACCCATGTAGAAAAGACCAATGATGACTTGAGTATTCTCAGCCGCGTCTATAGTCGGTGGTCCAGGCTTTTGAGGCTGAGATTGCTTTCCCACGATGGCGTCGCTCTTTGACCACGCCCTCCCCAGGCAAGACTCAAGCCAAACGATCATGGTTGCAACACTACAGCGCAAGTAGATTGGCCTCAAAAATTTAGATTGTTGGTTTCCTGCTGCGTTTTGTATTAACGGTTTATGATATTGTATTAGTGAGCTTCTCGTCAACGGTTTCCCTGATTCAGTTCATTGATCAGGCCCAGCGACTTTTTGCTGGGTGACGTTCTGCTCTGAACTTTGGATCCGCTCCAGTGGTGATTGATGACCTGACTGCAAATTGAGTGCTGATTAGTTTTATGTGAGGTCACTACTGCTTCTTTGTGGTAACCTTGACCATCCTGATTCATGCTCAAGGCTTAGGCTCAGTTATACAGAGGATGCACAATATTGATAAAACATTTACGAGGGATTTCGAGAACCTTTCCTGTTCTGGTCTAGTACCATAGCCTGGGAATGTGCCTCTGGCAGTTGCATGCCATTTCGTCAGCCAAGAAACAGATGAAGAACCCTTCTCGTGGGGTTCATTACTTATTCCCCAGAATGTCCTTCAATATGAGAATCAGCAATCATATCCCAAAATGCGATACCTGTTCGTTTTGATCAAATCGTCGGTCCCAGGGAATAAAGTTTAGCTTCTGCCCATCTCCACCGCCCTCAAGACTCCTCTTTTCCCATCGCTCCATCTTTTCCTCGTCAAAACGCGTGCGTCCCGTACCCTATCGCAATGCCAGTCGTAAGACGAATACCCGATAACAAAAGACGGTCCCGCACAGGCTGTATCCCCTGTCGAAGACGTCGAAGAAAATGTTAGTCAGTCGCGTCTCTCCCGGTGACTTTGTCTAACATTTGGACACAAGGTGATGAACAAAGACCTCAATGCGGCAGTTGTATCGGGAGGAATGTGACGTGCGAGTTCAAAGAGTGGACCTTTGTACCAGGGGTTCGCTCATCGCTGCGGAAAGATGGTAGCGTGCAAGGGGATAACCGCGATGATGCTGATTCAACTCTGGTCAGTCCTATTATCTTCCGCGAGTCAGTCGATCTAGCACTAACACTGCCTTCAGCCCATTCAAGATAGTTTGTTGTCCTTTGTCGAATCAAGTCCTGCTCCCGCCGAGCCAGTTTTTGAGAGCCCCATAGCCAGTACTGCTCAGACAGAGAGGCTTGAGTCTATTCACAACACGACTACGGACGTTCCTCACCCAATCCCTTCAACCAATAACCATCACCAACATGACAGTAACCAAATACCCACGCCGTCAAGATGGAACGAAACAGTTCTATCAGAGCAGAACTCCTCAGAGAGACAAACAGCAATGCTTCGCTTTCGCTATCAAATAGTTCCCTGGCTAGACTCAAATGCCCCAAGATCAACCTTTGGGCCAAAGATCATGACATTAGCAGCAGAGAAGTCGACCATAATGGATATCATTGTATGGGTTGCGATGCGCCGCAGTAGGAGGAGTTTGAGCTCCACCAGCCATGAAGGCGATGCTCACCTGGTTCAGCAGTTCCAGCAGCAGTTATCCCTGGAGGATGCTTTTATCGCTAATATCGGACGGTCACTACTTGCCCTCGGTAACTTCTTTTATACTGGGCCATCTGAGTGGGGAAATCTGCACTCTGATTGCGTTGAAGTGAGAGAGCGATGTCAGTTCTTTGAGAGTCAGGAGGAACCCCTCAAGACTCTAAATCGCTTTCACTTCAAGACAGGTGTTATTTTCCATCTCATGTCTTGTAAGAGACGAGCTAACCTTGACCAACAGAGCTTGCTGCTTCCATTATTACCACCAAATCTCCATCACTACAGTCTCTACCACTAATAAACGACACATTCTTAATCTCCGCCCTGACACCGCCGAGCATTTACGACGACTGTCTAACCCATCTTGCGGCATGCTGCCACTTGATCCACGACGAAATCATCCCTCTCTTCAACGGGATCGCACCCGTGCAATCACCAACTCACGATTCTTACTCGCTTGTATGGGCAACATGGTCCAAATTATGGGCACGCTGCGTACAATGGTTTCGAGATCGTCCTCCTGACATGATCCCCTTACTGGAAAGCCCTGAAGTTGACCACGCAGCCTCCACCAATACCCCATTCACAGCAGACGTCTATTCAAGCGCCATCGCGGTTCAAGCAAACCTAGCAATTCATTTTTCAGCCCTTATACTGCTTTCATATAAACCACGCTTAGTCAAATTATCATCGATGCCACATCGCTTGGCCTCAAGAAGCTGGCATGCTCAAAAACTTGCCAAACTTGCTCTATGGAACAACTTTTCTGATCAATGGGACCCTGTCGTGGTCGCAACTGTTGTCCGTATAGCGAGAGATATGACATATCCGTCCCAGCAGGAGGCATTACTCTCATGTTTTCAGCGAATTGGGGATGCGACAAAGATCGCTCTACAGAGCGAGATTGCGGATCTGCAGCAGTTTTGGTCTTCTTCTCGAAATACCAGCGCACCAACAAATGCGCACGCTTGACATTTTATGAGAGCGAACCGGAAAAGATAGGACCATGAGAATCGTAATAAATTATTTTCCGTTACTTCGTTGATTCTAATTCATCCTTCCATGGTATAGATACTTGCGCTCCCCTTCGTACGACTGTCTTCGATGATGCCCATATCCCTGACCTGACGGCCTTCTCAATGTCGAACTGCTCCGACCTTTGCTCAGCACCCGCAAGCTCAACTGCATAAGCACCAATGAATGTGTCACCAGCAGCAGTCGTGTCCACGACTTCAACTTTCATAGCTGGGATGAGGCCCTTGGCACCTGTGTCGCTGGCATAGTATGCACCTTTCCCACCCAGAGTAATCACAACGTTCCGCACACCTCGAGCGAGAAAATCAGCAGCGGCCTTTTCAACAACTGAGATGTTTTCAAACTCAGACTCGTCCTTGTTTGACAACAAGGCCGCTTCGGTTTCGTTGAGGATCAAGTGAGCTAGACCTTGGTAGATCTCCACTGGGAGTACTTGAGCGGGGGCAGGATTGAGCAGAACGGGAGTTCCTGTCGTCTTGGCGGCTTTGAACGCCTGGATGACTGTCTCCAGAGGAATCTCGAGTTGCATGATGAGCAATGATGGCGTTGGGCCAGGGATCTCGGCGAAGTGGCTTGGTTGTAGAGAATTGTTGGCACCAGGCGATAAGATAATGCGGTTCTGGCCAGTTGGTTCATCGACAATGATCATGGCAATTCCGCTCTGGGATCCAGCGCCCCCATCCTTGTTCACAATGATAGAGTTTGTTCCAACATCATATGACTTTAGACTGTCAAGGAGTACGGAACCATAAGCATCGGCTCCTACGGCACCAATCATGGCAACATCAACGCTTGGGTTCTTCAGATCAGAAGTCCTCGAAAGCTTCGCACAAGCAACAGCTTGGTTGGCACCCTTTCCACCAGGGAAGACATTGAATTGGCTCGAAGTTATTGTCTCACCGGGGAGGGGATGATGAGGGACATATGATACAAGGTCGATGTTCAGTGATCCGAGGACACTGATGACTGGTCTCGGTGACTCCATGGCGTTTATTTAGAGAATATGAATGTTTTTAGGTAGTGAAAAACGGAGCAGGGATATTCTAAAAGAAGAAAACCTTTATACGGGCAGTGCATGGCTGCTGAGTGCTGGTGATGGACTCCACTCGCTCTGGGCACGCTATCCTGAAAATGGGTGTGTTATGCGATGGCGGATAGTCTATAAAGAAGCATGTGAACGGGGTCTAGTGGAATCATGCTTATTATTATGATATGTTACCAGTTCTCTGGGTCTCTTGTTCGCTAAAAATCCCTGTCGCAAGTCCTTACAGCGTCTTTAGCAGCGCGCCAACATCGTAGCCCCATTCAGCCTCAAGATCCGTCAACCTCCACAAAGCTCCCCATCCCGTCGTCCTGTCAATGCTCTTTAACAGCCTAGCAATCTGCTTCCTCTCGTTAACATGTGAGAAGAGCTTCCCAGCTATATAGAGTGGCTGTATAGAGTTTACAAGACTTCCGGGATGAAGGTTTGCGCAGGAGATTCCACAGACTTGTCGTGCATGCCACAGCGCCAAGCACTGAGAGTCTAAGTCATGGCGCATTTCCAGCATGAGGATGCATGCAGTGTGATAGATCTGATTACTCGAGATAGCTGCCCAGTGGGGGAAGAGCATGGCTGGAAATATCTGTTTGTCGCCTGCTTCGACCATACTGATTTGCTTCATTGTTGCTGGGCGCTCGTCAAGCCAGTATTGAAGCTCATTCCAGAGCTGTTGCCATTGTTCTTGAAACGGTCTGTCATCTTGAACATCTACCCTTCCGAGTTCTAGACTCTGTGTTCTTCGAAATTTAAGATCGCAGACTTTTGTGCAGAGATAAATAGCCCAGTTAGCCTGCATGTCCGGACAATCTCGGCTCCTTCGATGAAACATGTCCCGCACATATCGCTCGACTTGTTCAGATGATACCAACGACTCGGGTGGCGATGGAGCCCATTTTGACAGAGGAAGAACAGCTGTTTCTGTGCCATCGGATATAATTGCTCCACACAACTCCATCCTCGCATAGCACCAGAAGACAGCTTGCGGTAGGCCACCGGAGAAACCATCAACTCCAAAGAACTCAAACAGCGACGCGCAGCCCTCGACGTGACGCTTCCAGTTCTTGGAACCGCCAGACATGAGTTCAAAAACTGCAAGAATACAAGCCGTGACAAGCATATTGGGATCCTTGGCTTGTAATCCAGGA